TGAGCAAGGAACGGACAATGAGCATCAGAGCACTGTTTAAAATTTTCCTGCGAAGCAGTAATCCAAATCTCCATAAAAATAAAATTGAGTAACTTGTCAGGTCTTATAAGAGGACAGAGTAGCCACCACAACAACTGATCAATAAAGTGTCCTGAAAATCTGAATGTGAGCTTGGTGGGTTTGTAAGTCTCACCTAGATATGAACTGGCTGTGCACGCTGTAAAATGGCGATTATATCAGTGGAAGATGGCAGAAATGGTTCTTTAGTGACTTACTGTTCCAGGCACAAGAGTGCATACACCCTGATGGCTTCATTGAACATAAACTTGGCTGCTAAAAATTCGCATTATAGTGTGACAGTGAAATACAAAAATGTCATCTCAAACTAAATGACCTTCAAAAAGAAATTAAAGACTAGTAAGCACATTAGACTAATTGTATAGGTGTGATTTAAACATGGAAAATTAAGGAAATACCAGAATAAAGACCTACAGCTTCAATAATGTGATCACCTGAAGCCCAAAAGCATTCATAGCCATTTATTAAGGCCTGGAAAGGCCTGAGAAAACTGCTTGCCACTACGATAGCACAAAGAAGCACAGGCAAAAGCGGTGCTAAAATTACTCATGAAATCAAGTATAAAAATCACTGACCCTCTCTCCATGTGTGCAACTGCTCCAGTAAGAAAGGAAAAAGACGGTTGGAAAGTTGCATCCTCTTAGTGAGTATGAAATAGAGCTTTGGGCTCCTGCTGGAGAGCTGGTAGGTGCACGCAGAGCTGTTTGTCCTGCCGTGTCTCCACGCCGGCGTAGCAGCGTACTGTAGCAGGAGGTGAGGATGGTACCACAATTTATATATGACTTGTATGTGCTTTTACGCTTCCTCCCTCAGGCTTGTGGCTGCAATCTAACTAAATTCACACAGAGAGCGATTGCAAAGATAGATGGTAAAGAGGCGGTTTTGCCTCCAAACTCAGGCATTTTCAGACCTATCATAGCAAATACATTATATGCCAATTAAAGGTTAACTAGTGAAAGTTGTTGGTGTGAAACCACTTGTACTCTATTTCAGGTTAACTCATCTCCATTCCAGTGTTTCTCAAAAAGGTCAAACACCTACCACAGCATGATAAAAGAGGCAAGTAAATCTGGCTGCATAACTCCACGACTGACTGCCGAAATCCACACTTTGGGAAGATGTCCCAAATTCACTGAAAATAATGAGCTGAAGTTAGAGGAAAAAACCCACGACTATATATGGATAAAAGAAGGGAAAGTAGCTGGTGACAGAAGTTGAAAATATGTGACAGGCTTAAAATATCTGACGAAATATTGCATTTCTTCACCAGCATAGTCAATATCTTCATTTACATTCATTTTTATCAGTGTGTTTTACCCACGCAAAGCTCAATCTCCTGGTAAAAGTGATACTCAGGTACTCGTAACAGTCTCCTCGTGCCAGCAGATTGAATTCGGGTTAGAGATTACCAAGATTCACTACACTTATACCAACATGTGTAAGCAGATGCAGTTTTAGTAGGTACAATTTTACTGGCTTCAGCATTCCCAGAATGATTTGAGGATACTGAGATTTGTCTTTGAGAGGCTAGCGTAGCTGTAGTTGTTAAGATGGATGAGAAAAACTGAGATATGGGGTGATAAAAATTATGATAATTAAACAGATAAGCTGGATATCTTGCCATGGATAGTCAGGGAGAAGCCAACCAGCTCCCACTATATTTTATGACTGTCACGGCTCTGCATGGAAGCAGATGACTGATGGCTGGTATTATCAAGGAGAGTGGACTATGTGCTGTTTTAACCTTTTATTTGTTTAACCTTTACAGTGTGAGTGAGATTGTGCAGCTGCATTTCTTATTACTTGGAAGGAACTCTATTTTTTTCTTTTATATCAGGGATGATCAAAGTTTAGCAAAGTCCTCATGTAAGTAGCTGTTAAAATGGATCTTGTAAAAGGATTGTATCCATCCTCAAGTTTTATTTCCTGTCGTTTCTGCAGGGTTGCCTATTTTCCTGCAACAGTAAAAGGAAAAGAGAATAAAAGCACAGAATCTAGAAAAAATTACCTGTTCTAAAGACATGGTATCTGGATTTATTGGTTTGTGATTTGGATCTATCTAAAGGTTAAATACAGTGTTATGTATTTCAAAGCAAATGAACATTTCAACTCCTGAGTACATAACTATAGCAGTAAATGGGGCACACATCAGTTCAGTATTATCATATTCAGGGCAGGCATAAGCATCTTACCTCAGCCCAAGTATTCACACATCCGAAGTTCTTAGTAAAATTCCTTTGAACTTGAGTGTTTTCTGGTGTAAAGGTGCTGGACAATCAAAAAATAATTGCACAGACAAGCACACTTGACAACTATTAGGCCATTTATTTAGCAATGGACTGAAATGGAATATGGTCACCTGCATTAGTCACAGTTCTGCTGTGCCCAAGTATGTGTAAGCACTAGTCACGGCCAGTAAAGAGCACCAAGGCCACTGTCTTCAGCATCTAATGCTACTGAGGTCTTCAGCAATCAGTGTCCATCTAATTTTAGCTTACAGACATTGAAGAATTTCCCATCAAATCCACTTCTTGCTACCACATAAAAAACAACTTCTCGTTGAGATAACCTCATACCTGAGAACAAAGCATAGGGACCTCTAGGCTTGTAAAATAAGTCTCAAACCAGCCTGAGACTTTATTTCAAGGCAGAAAGAACGGACCTGCCAGGACTAAGATAGTGGTTTCCACCTTCAATCTGATTACCAGAGTGATTTAAATTTGGCTGGTTAGTTCCTTGTTTGCCTGTGCATGCCAGCCACCCTCAGCGAGATGACTGGGTAGCCTTTGCGGGACTCCAGAGAGAAGCCACCTAAGAAACTCCATTAGTTGACAACACAAAAAATCATGTATGGCCCTGATCTATTGTGATGGTAACAAAACCTACATATGCCAATGCAATGAACAAGCCAAATTAAACTGCTAACAAATTGTCTGCTGTCATTATTCCATATTCCAAAACGATTTCACATTGCTACCTGCACAGAGACAGCATTAATCCCTTCTCAGCTGCCAAAAAAATCCTTCTTTAAAAGCTGCTGTTATATTTGCTGTACAAAATCAGATGGCATGTAGAATGTTGTAAGGGTGGTGAATACAGTGAAATAAGTAAAATATAATTCCGAATGTTAATGTAATTGTTGGTTTATTTGTTTACCTCTATTACTTAAGACGATACCGACTGGGAGCTGGAGTTCCGTAATTTCAGTTATAGAATATTATGTGTGCACTCTTCTACTTTCTTTGAGTCCTTGCTCCCAAATACATTGCTGTTACTTAATGGTATCTGCAGAACAAGCATGGACTGGAATTGTCCAAGAAATTTAAGAATATAACTATTTATTATGCAAGGGTTGATGATTATATTATTCATTCAGCACTCTTTTGCCTTGTATAGTTTTCCAAGATTCATTGACAAGAAAAAAAGAGATTAAATACAGATGGTACATGGTATTTTTACAGTATGTTTTCTACTTGCACTTTATTTTTCCTCAATTTTGAATGATACTTTGGTAAAAGTCTTTTCCAAGAACCATATCAAATAGGCAAAAACTGTAATAGCAATTAAAATGTTTTAAACAAAGTTGTATTTGGAAGTGCATGCCGCGGTCTTTCTACCAAGCATAGTAGATGTTTATTTAGCCACAAACTTTTGACTGGCTAAAATCATACAGCTGGCCCTTCATTTGATATAGTTAAGGTCGTAACACTGAAGTGAATGGAACAAAGTTGATTTTCACCAGCTGATACTTTGTCCAGTGTTTATTTAGCTCATTCTTTCCTAGATCTGATCTGCATCTTTCCTGAATCTCAATCCTATCCTGCTGTACAATTTTGCTACTTAAAAGACAATAATAAAGCAAAAATTCTGCTCCCATAGAGTCGTAAGGCCAGAAAAGCAGCAGCAGCTGCAGTGGCAAGATGAGCAGACCATGTAGAGGAATATAAAATCCCTTGCATGGTATAGAAGATAGTGGCACAAGGCGTGCATGAGCACAAAAGGCACTTAGAGGCAGGCCAAAAATCAAGGAAAACGATGATGGTGGTTTTGTGAACTAAGCACATATCAGTGAACAAGCCTCTCCTCTCAAACACAGGATACGACTGGCTGTATCCACAAGAAAAGCATGGTTTCAAGTCGTTCTCCCAAGTTAGAGAAGGAGTGCCATGCCACAGTGCTGAAGTGGTCCTTATCCCATGCTCTTTTCGTTAGGTTTAGTTCATGGAGTCAAAACACAGCCTTAAAAAGCTGGAGGAGAAAACACTCCTGGCATTAAATTCTGGAATCACAAAACATTCTTAAATATAAACAACCCAAGCAGGAAAGCTAAGGTGGGTTATTTGCTTCAGGGTTTTTCCCCAAATATTGTGGTGCTCCTCAAAAGGTGGACTTTCAGGGAAAGGAGGACTGAAATTTCGACAAAAAATTTAATGGTATTTGACAGAAGTTGTCCCCTCTCAGCTTTCCTCCCATAGAGAATAAAGCGTAAAGAGTGTCAAAACCTTTTTGAATTGCAAAAATATACCAATCTTATACTTTAGAAACAACATTTTTCAGCTTTCCATTCAAAAAACACTTCTTTATAAATTTATTTGGTTTTTTTTTTCTATTTTTAAAGAAAACAGATTTACAAAGGATTAAACAACCCAAGAAGCAAAAAATTTCATTCCAGGTTAACATCTTTCCACATTCTTCCTGCCTCTCCCCACTACCCGGGGCTTATTTTAGTTCAACTTGAATCTTGTTTCTGGTTTTTCGCCAAACTGAAAAAAAAAACACCCACTATTCATCCAGCTCCACTAACGGAAAGGCCTCGTGCAGAGAAATAGGTATGAAGAGATGGGCTACGTAACTCTCACTACGACTACAGCCAGGCTGATAGAAGCAGAGCTCGTGGACGCCGCGGGCTGCCGGGCTGAGGTCTATCGCTGCTGCGGCCACTGCCGAGCCCTCTGCCTGAGCCGCCGGACGGACAGGCTGATCGGCTGCTTCCCGAACTTCTTCATGATCTCCTTGATTCTCGCCAGGTTGGTTTTGGAGATGGTGAAGTCGCACTGGGTAGCTCCCATGTCGTAGCCGACTTCGCAGGTCTTGGTGGCGGTGGTGTAGCCCTCCGCTTTCACGCCCACCATGTATTCCCCCGGGTTGAGAAGACGCCAGTAATCACCATCAGCTCCTGGTAGGAAAAGAGATGTTTTTTCAGGCCAGTGGCCATTTTTCCTTGAGGAAGGTGTTTATGAGAATACAGAAGTGCCTGCACACGGATAAGACGACACCACAGGCAGCAACCCTGCATCCTCACACCAGGACGGTGTCAGTGAGGCTGCTCCCCATCACACATACCCCTTCCTGTCCTGCCAACCCTATGGGAAAACACACATAAAACATATTTTCCAAATGATGAAAAAAGGACAACGGGCTTTAATCTGGCTTAAGATTTTTTGTCAGTCAAAGCCAGGAAGATCCTGAGGCAAAGGGTCCCCTTGTAACAGTTGGTGATTTCTGAAGGGCATGAAAGACCTTCCCCAAATTAATTCTAACTAATGAATGAAGAGGAGCCCCGGTGGGGTAACCACATCTCACTCATGATCCTGGGCAGACAGCCTGGACACACATGTTTTGGTGCCATTTAGTATGCAGAGCGAGTGAACGCATAATGTTGGCTCACTTAGAGATCTAAGTAAATAACCTCTTCTATAAAATCTTACGCTGAGTTTTATTACGTTAATTTTCCTACAAAGTATAATTCATCAGGGTATTTAACCACCTGCTTACCTGCAAATGCATGAAGAGAGCTCCTGTAATCAACCACACTACTCACGCACAAAGCAGGATGTATTTTAACACCTCGTTGAATCAGGACTTTCTGTTTTCTTCTTTTTTCCCAATAAATGATCTCAGACTACACGTACATACATACAGATGGTTTTAGACTTCTTTTAAAGAACTATTTAACTAACAAGTATGCTGAGCTATGGACCGGAAAAGGTGAAACACTAATATCTAAAATTAGTTTTGCACTCTGTCCCAGGAAAACTCACTGTGGAATGGAAGTGCATACTCAAATATGCAGTTCTATATATAAATAGAAACGCAACATCTCTTGTATGAGGAGGGGTTGGGGTTTTTTTGCACTGATGGGAACTGACAGCCTTACTATCACTAGCCTTGGGTTGCTTGCAATGCAGCATGTTGCAAAAACTAAAGATGATTTGTATAAGAATATTATATTTAGGAAAAGATCAGGTTAGCTAGGCTCTGTTTAAAGAAATAGAATTTTAATATAGTTATTGGTAAGGTAAAAAACATATTTGCAAACAGCAAGTGTTAGCAAAACACCTGATAGTGCCATCTCTGAGTGCGAGTGTGAAATCGGGTGCAAGAAGTGCACCCCATCAGGTTAGTTCTTGCAAAGCAGCATGCTTGGGTTTTTCTTTCAGCCAGTTTGACCCTGCTTGGATCAAGGTCCAGATTTTCTGTTTCTCGGGACTCAGGCATTATTAGGAAGGGCTCTCTGAGAAGCTCTTTATTCAGTTCTCCCTTACTATTGGGTCCGTTGGCACCTTAACCAAAAGACAAAACATAAAGCTGTCCGAGGGTCTTGAATTTATCCCTAAGGGCTCAGTTTTAGCTGTAAATGCTCTGGCGATACTACAGGGCTGGCAAAAGGCTACAGATCACCCCATGTGTGGCTGTGAACGCATCCCTGCTCAGCCCCTGGAGTTCAAAGCTGACCCACATTTTTCTGACACATTTAACAGGCAGGTCACCACAACCCCGTGCAAGGCCAGAAAAAAAATCTACACATTCACACAGCACCAGGAAATTATTACAAAGCTGGATATTAAGCTGTTAGCAGGATGCACTTTACCTCCTTTCCATTTACAAGTAAGTAGACATTAGTATTTCTGTCAGCTGTCATTGCCCAGAATTTAATACCAGACTAAAAGGTTTTTTTTTTTTTGAAAATCAGATTAAATTCAGTAGGTAAAAAATTTCAGAGCAGATGGCAAGAAAAACACAATTAAAAATACAGATAAATGTAGTAAATAATAGGTTTGCTGAAAGAATAGTCTCCAGTGGGAGCAGGCTGAAGGCAGACTACATCTATCTCCACCTATTGGGTCTGGAAAAGAATTGCCATGTCTACTTAGATAAAATAACAATGCATGAAATTATGAAGATGGTATTATTATAAATTAAATGTGTCAGATGACTCCATAAACACTTCAATTAAGACAGACACATTTTGAGCCTGGTAGGACAGATCTTTGTTACAACTAAGTGTCATATTTATACAAAAGTACCAAATTTTACTAATTTAAGTACGTTATAAAAATCAATCCTAATTCTGTTACCTACAAAAGACTCTCCAGGAGAGCTAGCCATAGTGCTACACACCAAAACTCAGCTTTTCTTCACTGAACAGGAAGCCAGGAATGAGTCTGGAGAGTTATAATACCAGAATTATGCTTAGCTTAGACTAGTGTTATTAAATGTTCCTAAATGCTACTTCAAAATCTTTGGGTTTCGTTACATAATGTATACTGAAACAATATGCAACTTACTAAAATATTTATAAAAGTTTCACTGAACATTGTATGAAATCAGTTATGCTTTATTTCAAAAATCTCACAGAAATGTGCATCTGTCTTCGAATTTTGGGCGTGATACAGAAGTCTTTCAACAGAAACTGAATATTTCTTTATCAAGATTTGCTTTGAGATTCCCAAAACGTGCAACTAGAGGAAGCGACCCACAAAAGTGCCTTTGCACCATGGGGAAAACCAGTGTGCAGTTCATGCAGTTGATGAACTCTTTTCCAAAGGCTATCTCACATAGAGCACAGTCCACATCTAACCGTAACGACATGTAATCACTCAGGCTTAATCAATAGCTACATCTGCATCTAAAGAAAATGGAATCATTTTCCACAAAGCCTTTACTCTCAGAATCAATGACTTCAATTAGCCTATTAATATTATTAGCTTAGTGTCAGCAGCCCTCTCTTCCCAAAAGATGTATTATACGTTCAAGAGAAAGTAAAACAAAAAAAATGGTTTCCATGCACTTTTTTTTTTTTGTCCACAGGAAGCAGAAGAGAATTTTTTTCAAAACAAGTAAATGTTATTAGAGGGCCTTTACAGACAACTTTTATCTGGCTCTGCAGGGTTGTCGACCACATTATTGAATCAAAGAAACAGTGGATACCTTACAGCTTAGCTCACTTAGAACAAAACTTACATGAATAGAGATAGCGGCCATAATTCTTCTCCTGCTTGGCCTATTTTTATATCAAGGCAACTCAGAGGTTTAATGGATACATTTTTCTTTTTAAAAGGTATAACTGAAAGAGGACTGATGGCAATTTGCCTTCTTTCTCTGGAGTTATACATGTCATTTTAGCTTTTTGGCTCCAACATAAATTCTCTAGTTTCAAAGACTAATGAGACGTACATTGTTATCTGTACAATATCAAACAAAATAGAACTTTTATGATCCCATCTACAAAGTGATTCCCAAACAGACTGTCAGCTTAAACGTCTCATTAAAAAGAAGAATGAAAAAGAATTAAATAAGTACTTCTATTTTTACTAACAAGTGCAGATGGCCTTGAGCCATGGAAGCTCAGCTCTAAGTCTAGATGTAAATAGCTGCAAGATTTCCCAAGCGTTATAAGGTGGATTCTGGGATCTTGCGCATTTATTACACATGCCATTGGGACTCCTTTCCATATGCATGTTTGCTGCCTTTAAACTGTTGATTTTTCTTTCATGTGGCAATCCCGTGTACCGAGAGCTGGAGATTAATCACCTGTTGCATTTACTCAGCCTTGACCGGAGCAATATATTAATTCTGTTAACAGAGTAATACCACCTACAGTTTATGACAGTCTTTCAAGACTGCCAAGACTCCCAAGACAAGGAAAAACAACTGATTACTTTAACTCCTGCTATCATTTCCCAGCGGTCGCATTTGAAATATTTAAGGCGGAATCATTATTGCCTAATTAAATATCTGTCATTCAATGTTTACTTTTACAGCGCAGACACAGTAGCACTGAAATAAAATTGATCGTATACTAAGTTAGATATTCCAAGATTTATTATGGGCTCAGATAATCTACTGTAACAAACATTAAAGATTTGGAAGTCTCTTACATAAAGCTCTATGGTATTACATAGCCTGAAATCAGTTTATGCGTTAAAGCGTGCCATACTGTACGTGAAAGCGGCAGCAAATGAAAGACCCAGACTGCCAGTCAGGACGTAAAAAACCCATAAAATTAGTGTTCCTGTTTCTAATGTTAAACCAGATCTAGAGTACGCAACAATTTGATTTGTCTGATTATGCACCATGATGCTACTTTGCCGTGAACATTCAACAGAAACCTTGTTAGTCTCTTGCCAGCAGCACTTTGAGTGCAGTCACTAAAGACTCCTGCTGACATATTGTTTTGCTATTTCTTTCTGCATGCTCCTCTCCTTAACTGTATCCCCTCTGTAGTTTGTGTGTCTTAAATCATGATACAATACCTACACAAACACAATGGATGATATGCTGCCTGCTACCTGTGAAGAATAATTTTCAGGTATTACTATTAATCTTGTAACTGCCTAGCGCCTATTTAAAGCACTTCTTTATTTAGTGCCATAACTACTTTCCAGGCCATTAAATAGGCTTAGAGTTTACTCTGAGTATGCACATACCCATGCCTGGGTACAGATCAAGACTGTGCTAACAAGGCAAATAGCCATTTATGTGTTTTTTTTGAAACTATAAATGTTGAAAAGTAATTCTCTGGGCTGAGATTCACCTGTGCAAAGCAGAATTTCTACTGGGCCCCATAAAACGATCTTTTATAAAGCTGTGGTGTTTTGCAGGAGACTCTTCAGGTTTGGAAACTCCTCTTTTCCTGCAACAGCTGTTTCTCCTCTGGTCACAGTTCTAAATCACATCTCCAATACGTTCACAATCCTATAACTGTTAACAGCCAGAGAAACACTCTGCCAAACAAGGCATTACCTACACCCTTGTTTTCCAGTGCTATAATTATTCTGGGTTAGATTTACACTACCTTTGCATGAGAAAAGGAGCAGCAAGAGTTCTTTAGACACAGCCTTACTCAGCCTATTGATTTGGGGCAAATAAAAGGCTCTTTGCTGAACACCTTAAAAGAGGTGGAAAGAGGAAGAGAGGTGGAAAGAGGAAGAGAGGTAGAGAGGAAAGCCATAGCTCTGTACTTGTCTACGCAGCCGCACCATGGAAAGAAGTGACTCCCTCCTCATGTGCCACTCCTGCAACACTCTCCTTGGACCGTGTACTATCTCTTGGCTTTTCCCAGAAAAGAGTTCAAAGTTGCAATGAGGTTCTGTATTTTGTTTTTAAACCACAGATCTGTCCATCTGCGCTCGTGTTTTTGGCTTTTTACCTGTGCGAATGTCATGGTTAACACCTTCCACTGAAATAACAGCATTTGGGATTCCCTTTCCATGCACGTCTCTCACTATGCCTTTGATGCCCCGATGGACCTATCAAGAGAATAAACAAACAAATAAATATTGCACAGCGATGAGCAGCACTATCACAAGGAAGACACAACAAATAATTAATTCCATACGTGAATTATATGTATTATGTTCCTGCTTTATTATTCACACAATTTTGAAATATCATTATTAACCCAGTATCAGCCTTCCAGGCCTTAGCTACTTGTGAGTCAGCTTAGAAATTCTGTTCGGATTCCTGAGGCCTCAAATTCAAGAGACAGATAAAACAAGCAGATAAAGCACCAGACGTAAGGGTTTTTTTCCTGGCAGTCCTTTCTAGCAAGCTCTGCGCTCACATCAGATTTTAACAAGATTCATTATTTTATTCAACTAAGTCAAAACAGTCTGGCTGAAGTGATACGCCAGCATTGCTTGTAGGTAAGGTTTCTATCACAAATACCAATAATCACATTATTAGTCATGCAAGAAAAATATCAGAAACCTCGAACTGCCTTTCAATCTGACTCATCACGTTACTCAGAAGTTACGCTTCTGTCAAATACCTGTTCCATAAAAACAATCAGGGACTCGCGGTTGTTTTCCCATTCTTCGGGCAACTCACTCTCATGAGGATACTTGTCACAGCCAACATAGATGGATAGCTCAAAGCAGTTTGTGTGCAGATAACTGAAGTCATTTATGCCTGTCAATAGGGAATAAAAACGAAATTATTTTATATCCTCTTTTAATCTATTGATCCGATCTGATTATTTTATGCAAAGTAATACATTTAAACACAAGCTGGGTGTTTATCCAGCTGGCTTAGTCTGCAGACCTGGCAGGGCAAAAGTTTTTCAGAAATCTTCTGTAGCAAAGCACCAGAGTAACCTCAGAGCTATACACCTAACAAAACAAGATTTTCTGAAGACAGTGTCCCAACAACATGTTCAAAATGGAGGATACGAGATTGCACAGTGATATTACGGGCCATTGTGTCAGCCCAGCACCACGCCCCCAAAGCCTTTGCTGCTTTTTGCATCTTCCACTATCACTAAACTTAAAGGAAACAGAGATTGGGCAGAAAAAAACCCCAACCAAACAGATTAAAGTCATTCTTAAAGTCATTCAATTAAATTTTCTATGTTACTAATGGAGAAGATGGGGACACAACCAGGAAGATGTCAGGAAAGGTCTTTTTCTCTCCTCACAAGCACAAAGCTTGTGCTTTGTTTTGAAGAAAGCATTAAGCTTCACTAATCCTGGACACTTTCCCATGGACTAGCTCTCAGTTATGATTGCCCTGGGTAGAAATGGGATGGCCTGCGTTAGCTTGCATGGATGTGCAGCCATTAACTGAATTTATACAACCCTAAATGTCAGGACACAGTGATTGTGAAGTAGAAGTGATTTATCAGAGGAGTTGATGAAACAATTTCTCAAACTAAATGTTTTCCCACGTGAATAATCTAAATGATCAGAAAGCCTGAAAAATCAAGGTAGTAGTAGTTCTTCAAAGTTACATGTGGTGTCTGTTAGCACATAAGGAATGAGTTGAACTGTTCTTTTTTCTCCCTATTATGGCTTTGCAGAGGTCTGGAATCTGCACCGTTGCTCTGCAATAGGGATTTCCATTAGAAATATGTCCTAATGAAAACGCAGGAACCTCAGTACCTCTGACCTTGGTGGAGCTGCAGTTTAAGCCTACATTACAGAGAGCACTGTGACCTTTGCAGAGGTCCTGAGCACTAAGGAAGTCTGTATTTAGGTACAGATCTCAAACCTCTACATCCTGAAGGTTTCTCTCCCATTTCTCACAATTAATTTTCCTTTGGGAAATCTCATTTATCAGTTCTCACAATCACGGAGGTAACATGATACAGCACATGAACACTAGAGGAAGAAATGATGTGAGCTTCATTTCTTATTCCACCTGCATTTCTAATAAAAATTATTAAAAAAAATGTTTATTAATGATCATTAATCGTCGTATTTTAAATAGCAAAGATTAGCAGGAAATGCATTCACAAAGTGCTTCTGATTGAAAAGAGTTTAAAAAAACCCCCTTAATCGTACCCAATTACCATAGAGCAGTAGTCAAGTATTTAACGAGCCCTTAGTGCCTTCTGGATGCAGAGCGGGAGGATTATATGATACAGATGTTAAGCTTTTCACTTTTGTTGATGGAGAAAGCCTAAATATCAGACAGTGGCATATGCTACTCTGCATAAATGTGCTTCCCATCCTTTTGAGAAACAGCCACAATTATTTCCCCCTCACATACTGTATCGCGTCCTGATTAATCTGTTGTGAAATGTTTTGCAATACACAGTAATTGCTCAGTTTTAATACGTGTATTTAAGAAAATGGCTTAACGTTGCCAAGAGCAACTCGCTGTGTAGTGTCTGAACACGCAAATCCAGCCTTGGAAACACTGGAAATAAAATGAAATTCATCTGTTCTTCGTCTTTGTGGTGTTCACCCAATGCAGAAACTTTGTATGTAAATTGCTGAAGAAGTTGCATTCATTGCAGTCCAAAATACGTGCAGGAAAGAACATGGCTGAGTTTCAAGGGCATACAGAGGTGTTTGATATCTGTGCAAGGTATCTGCGGTACACACACTTCTCTAGAGACTCTATGGTGCCAAAAAAGAATTAGAAAAGTCCTTTATAACTTTCCCAAGGCATGAGCAGTGAAAAGTTTGTATGCATGACCACTGCAAGGCCAGGCAGCAGGTGGATGAGGAGAGAGCTTCAAGTTGTACAGCAAAGAGATGCCACCCACACCAAAGGACAGCTGGGGCAGCTTTCTGCAAGTGATACATCAGTGTGTCACCTTCAGGTCAGACGTTAAGCAAGCTGGGGTTTAGGAGAAGAAAGTGCTACATGTTGATCTAAAAGGTAAAGAAATAGAAGAAGTGCAGTGAGCTATGCAACTCGATCTGTACAGTCATGGAATTACAGAGTGAAAAAATATAGGAGAAATTTGTCTGCAAATCTGGAATCATATCTGGACAACCCTTTACAAGGGTGCCATTGCTAACTATCAGCTGCAATACATATATATGTATGCATATATATACACCTGCAACAGAAAACATTCTCTTCCATTTGTCTAAATAGAGGAGAAATCTAAAACCACCCTGCAGGATGGAGGCTGAGCTCAAATGGAAACCACATCTTTTGAGGTTTAATCTGGAGTCCAAGGCGTAAAGAATTGAAAGTAAAAGCAATATTCCAGCATTTTTTGCAAAGACAATCTTGGAAGTCTTACTTAATGTAAGAGAACAAGATGTAAAGTGTAATGAGAAACATCATAAAGCAATAAACCAAAACAGATGAACCAAATCCAATATGCAATTGTTACTAGAAATCAAGATACTATTCAGCATCTATATTGTACACCATTACTTAATATAACTTAGTGTGACAGCTGTTAGTGACATGGCCAGTGTCATCTTTTCTGGGTCGATTCATAATCATGTTTCTTATTGCACTTAGGAAAATTAAACTCATAAATTAGAAAATTAAGCAGTCAAGCTAGCATTTAGAGGGTTTTTTTTTAGAATTTGCAGAAATGGATAGAAATGTATCGTCAGGCATTTGCCTTGTGATCTGAGAGTTCAATCTTTCCCCCTGAATTCACCCAGCACTTTTCAAGCTCCTGAAAAAATATTTGAAAAGAAAAGGTAATTCTTGGCTCTAGCCTCTGAAGCCTGGCCAGCATTAACTTTACATGGGCCAATGTAAAAACCATAAAGGTCACGTCCAAAATTTACAAATGTTTATGCAGTGAAACTACCTGCAAGTTACGAACACGAGCCAGCTCCAATAAAACATGGTCTGCACAGCCGCTCGCTTGCATCTGTTTGCCATTACTTCTGCAGTGGCTCCTATTGTCATTCAAGTGATGGCAGATGCACAGCTCAGTTCTTAATTTCATAGAATATGTTATTTAACTGATGTGCTTATAAAAAAGATTTTGAGCAGAATTTTGATGAATCAGTCTGATTCCGAGTCTGCTTGAAGCGTACACCCATAGAGATAACCGTGCCTACTGCTGTTAAAAATGTGCTTCTAATTAGGCTTTCCTGGAAATCAATACTCTGTCTGCACTAAAGCACAGGGCTTCCCCTTCGTGCTCCTTAACAGGGCGACAGGCTTGGGCATATGGTGAGCAATGCAGTCTGTAATCCTTTCTGGCAGCAGAAATGCCTATGGAGCCCATGCAAAATTTAAGTGCAAGGATGTCCAGGTCTTTTAAAGATAGGATGGTAGCAGGCAAGCAGCAGCTTTTGTGGTATGTTTTTACAACTCAAAGTGAACGTGAGAGGGGGCTGATCTGCGACAGAGTTCAGCAAGCAGGAGGCTGAAATCACGATTTTCTTAACAAGGCCCACTGGAATCTCTCCCTGGAGTCGCTGCTTCAGCTCTGACACTGGTTACCTGTGATGTTCGGCAGCAGTTTCC